CACACAGAGACCCCCAGGAGATCCCTGAGATCACACAGAGACCCCCAAGAAACCCCTGGGATCACACAGAGACCCCCAGGAGATCCCTGGGATCACACAGAGACCCCCAGGAGAACCCTGGGATCACAGAGACCACCAGGAGAACCCTGGGATCACACAGAGACCACCAGGAGAACCCTGGGATCACACAAAGATCCCCAGGAGACCTCTGGGATCACATGCACACACCCAAGGGACACCTGGCATTGCAAAGAGACCCTCAGGGGTCCCCAGCATCACACACAGACCCCCAGGGGACACTGAGCATCCCACAGAGACCCCCAGGATCACATGGAGACCACCAGGGATCACACAGAGACCTCCAGGATCACACAGAGACCACCAGGGATCACACAGAGACTCCAGGATCACATGGAGATCACCAGGGATCACACAGAGACCTCCAGGATCACATGGAGACCACCAGGGATCACACAGAGACCTCCAGGATCACATGGAGACCACCAGGGATCACACAGAGACCTCCAGGATCACATGGAGACCACCAGAGATCATGCAGAGATCCCCAGGAAACACCTGAGATCACACGGAGACCACCTGGGATTACATGGAGACCCCTAGGATCACACAGAGACCTCCAGGATCACACAGAGACCACCAGGATCACAGAGAGACCCCCCCCCAGGGACTCTGGCCATCCCACAGAGACCCCCAGAAGAGCTCCCCACGGCCAGGGCTGGCTGAGGGCAGGACACAGCCGAAGGATGCTGCAGCAGGATGGGGGGGATGGAGGCGGCCGTGGCAAATCCCAACTCCCTGAGCCGGGAGCTATAAATATCCCGGCCTTTCCGAAAAGGGGCCGGAGGTTGTGCTCTTCCGCTGCAGCTCCAAGAGCAGAAGGGGGGGAAAAACAAACAGGGGCCGGTGGGGTTTTACCCCCAAAGCCCCACGGCCCTGCCCGGGGTGGGAGAGGGGGTGTGGGAAGGGGGGGTTCACCCCCCCAGAACGGGGGTTCCCTTCATCCCAAGGGGGCACAGCTCCCGTGCTGCAAAAGCACCCGGAACTCACCCGCCCAGGAAGGGCCTGAGCACAGCCCCGTGTGGGCCAGCAGAGAGTCCCCGTGCCGGCCCAAGGACCAGCTGAGCCAGAGCTGGGCCCGTGGGTGCCGGACCCACCACAAACAGGAAGAGTTTCTTCCTCTGCCCCTGCGCCGGCAACGCCGGATGGGCCAAAGTCCGCGGCTGCCGGGCCGCACTTCCTGCTCCTGGCGGGGAGGAGAGGGGCTGTGGCAGCAGGGGCAGCCCCCCAGCACGGGGGTTAACCCCCCAAAATGGGGGCTAACCACCCAAAATGGGGGCTAACCCCTCTGGGGTGAACGGGGGGGGGCTCAGAGCCCAGCCTCGGCACTGTCCCACCCGCAGCCCGGCCAAGGCCAGCGGGCAGGATCCGGCCCCAAGGACCCCACGGAACAGCACCCGTGGCCCATCCCCGTGGCCCTGGGGCACTCAGGGGGGGTGGGGGCACGGAACAGCACCCGTGGCCCATCCCCGTGGCCCTGGGGCACTCAGGGCCCGCTGTGCCCGCTCCCCCCAGTGCCAGCCCGGCCCTGTGTCCCTCCCAGCCAGGAGGACTGAAGGAGGTCCCGGCCCCCCCGTGCCCCTCACCCGGGGCCCCATTCCCCAGCACCCCCGTCCCCGAGGGCGGGCGGCTGAGAACGGGCAGGTTGTGACACATCTGGGGCTGTGGCCCGCCCCCCCCCGGCCTCCCCCCGGGGCCTCCCCCCCCCCGGCTGTGGGGCAGGGAGAAGAGGGGGCTGCCTTTCCTTCCCAGCCTGATTTCCTTAGGAAACAAGGCTGCCGGGGCCGGCCCCGCCACAGCCCCGGATCCGGCAGCGCGGCGGAAAGGCCCGGCTGGGGGGTACCCCCCAAATTCACCATCGCCACCGGCCCTGGGGGCGCTGGAAGGGGCTCCGCGGGGAGCCCCCAGAGTGGGCTCAGCCTCGTAGGAGCCCTCCAGGGGTTCCCACCGCCACGACCCCCCTGCTCGGACCCCTCTGAGCCCTGGACCCCCTCCCGGCACCCACCGGGGCCTCACGTCCTCGTGCCCAGTGAAGGGCTCCGGCCACTGGCTCCGGCCACTGGCTCCGGCCGCTCTCCCGGCTCCGGCCACTGGCTCCGGCTGCTCTCCCGGCTCCGGGCGGTTCTGCCGGCGGGTCCCTCGGGCTGCAGCCGCCCCAATTCCCCGCTCTGGGTGTGGGGTGGGGGGTCCCACGCCCCCCACACGCCCTCAGCCCACCCCTGCGATGAGCTGTGTCCGGTCTCAGCCCAGCTGGGCGCGGGGTGGCCCCGGCGAAGGCGGCTTAGGCCCGGCCTGTGCCGGCACTCACAAAATGACTTCCCGGTTGGGAAACCACCGCTGGGCTCTGCGTCACCGGCGGGGTCTGGGGAATAGGGGGGGGTGTGCCCACTGCGAGCCCCCCCAGCACTGGGGGGGGGTCACCCACTCCAAGGGTGCTCCTGCTGGGGGGTCCTGAAGCTCGGAGGGGACACAGGGACACGCTGGGTGAGAGTCCTGGGGTGCCCCAGCTGCGGGCCCGGGACCCCCGGGATGGGGCGGCAAAGGGGGGGGTGAACCTCCTTAGAGTGGGATGGTCATGGCTGAGACCCCGGCCCTAGAAGGGATGAGATCCCCGGGGGTCCTGGTAGGGCTGGGGGGGTCCTGATAGGGCTGGGGGGGTCCTGATGGGGCTGGGGGGGGTCCTGATAGGGCTGGAGGGGTCTTGATGGGGTTCGGGAGTCCCAGACAGGCTTGAGACCCCAGGGAGTCCTGGTGGATGTGGGGACCCCAGAGGTCCCGGCAGGGCTTGGGACCGCGGTGATCCTGGTGGGGCTGGGGGGGTCCTGGTGGGGTTGGCGGGTCCTGGCAGCGCTGGGGGTCTCGGTGGTCCTGGGTATCCCGGCAGGACTCCCTGGTCCCACCAGCGGGCTGCAAAGGGGGGCTCGTCCTGCCGCCCCCCCCCCCCCCCGTCCCGTTCCGGTGCCGCTCCCCGCCTTCCTACGGCGCTTTCGGGGGCCCTTCCGCGGGGTCGCACCCCCGTCCCGTCCCGGTGGCGGCCCCATTACCTGTCCCGGTGTCCGGCTCGCAGCTGCCCCAGGCGTGTCCCGGGGGTCCCGGGGCAGGTCCCGGTGCCGGTGCCGGTGCCCCGCTCGAAACCCCAGGCGCGGCCCGGGGATCCCTGTCCCGTTCCCGGTGCCGGTTCCCAGCCCCAGGCGTGGCTCGGGGATCCCGTTCCCGTTCCCGGTTCCCAGCCCCAGGGGTGGCCCGGGGGTCCCGTTCCCGGTTCGCAGCCCCAGGCGTGGCCCGGGGGTCCCGGTGCCGTTCCCGTTCCCAGCCCCAGGCGTGGCCCGTGCGGACGCGGCGCAGCTCCCGCCGCCCGGCGCGGCCCGAACCGGGCACAGCGCCCACCCTTGGGCCCCGCCGGCACTGCAGGGGGGCGGCGGGGGGGTCCCGGCAGGGTTGGGGGGTCCCCGGAGCCCTGGGAGGGCTGGGGGTCCCCGGGGTCACAGCAGGAAACTGGGGGGTCCTTGTAGGGCTGGAGAATCCCGAGGTGCCTGTACTGGGGGTTCTTGGGGTCCTGGCAGGGCTGGGGGGTCCCTGGAGCCCTGGGAGGGCTGGGGGTCCCAGCAGGAGACTAGGGGGTCCCTGTAGGGCTGGAGAATCCTGAGGTGCCAGTACTGGGGGTTCTTGGGGTCCCGGCAGGGCTGGGGGGTCCCCGGAGCCCTGGGAGGGCTGGGGGTCCCCGGGGTCCCAGCGGGAAACTGGGGGGTCCTTGTAGGGCTGGAGAATCCTGAGGTGCCAGTACTGGGGGTCCCCGGGATCACAGCAGGAAACTGGGGGGTCCCCGTAGGGCTGGAGAATCCCGGGGTGCCGGTACTGGGGGTTCTTGGGGTCCGGAGCATCCCTTCCCATGTCAGCTCCCTAATCCCAACCATCCCTGTCATTCCCACTCCAGAAATCCCAAACAAGGCGGCACTGTCCCCACTCAGCCAGGTCTCTGTCCCACGCTGTCCCCGGCCCTTGGGCTGGCCCTGGCTGGTGGCCCTGGTTGGTGGCCCTGGCTGGTGGCCCTGGCTGATAATCCCCCAAGGGTTTGTGATCTCGTTCCAGCTGAAGAGCCCGTTTTGTTGGTCCTTGTGCTGCCAGAGGACACTGTCCCCCTCACAACCCTCCCAAAATCGAGTCCAAAGCTGTGCCCCCACT